TAGGGTGTCATGCCAGGTGACCCCTCTACCAATCCGACTGTCTCTCCACCCTCAAGTATTATATTATCTTTGTGCCTTCAGCCTTGAAGGAGAATGAGGAGGGTGTTACTGGTTTGTTTGTTTGTTTTTATTTTTTCTTGTTTGTTTGTTTGTTTGTGTTGATTAAAGGCCATGTGCCACCACAGCCCAGGAATTACTGGTTTTTAAGTAGACCCACCTTGTATGATTGATATGTCTATCTACAGAGGGAAGCAGGTGGCTCAAAATGAAGGAGACAGGTACAAATGCAGGCAGAGCAGACAGACTTTCACTCTGCTTGTAGTTACCCTGTGGGGCCAAATGAGTGTCCAGTGGCTTTTGTTCTTATTGTTTTTAGCAAAAGTAATTTCTAAACGTGTGTTTTATCACTATCTCCTGTAAGCTTTAGTTTTTCAAAAACCTACTTTTAATGACAGTTCTTAAATGCTTTAACCTCCCTTCTAGCCCACCACCTACCAAAGGTAGTGGGAAAGAAAGTATATGGGGAAAGTGGACCTGTTTAGAAATTGTTCTTTGGAGCAATCCCATCTGTGTTGTCAGGAAGTCAGCAGTTTGGTGTACAGGTCAGCAGCAGCAGCTCAATCCACTCGCAAACACTTCACGGCTACAGCAGCAGTCCAGTTAGGAGGAGTCGGGATAGCAAACATAAGCAGCATCAGTGGCATAACATAACAGGAACAGCTAGGCCTCAGCCAAATCAGCACAAGTCAGCAGGAGAGAACAGAACCAACGGGGACACCAAGAATTCTTTGCTGTGCCTCTCTCAGTGAAGCAAAGATCAGCAAAGACGAGAGACCGAGAAACATATGAAGAGCTAGCTCTACAAGCAAGCCCCTCTCAGTCCTATTTATACTCCCTCCAAACATCACATGCTCTCTACAGACCTTCCCTCACTGTGTCTTGCCTCAGTATGTGAGTGTCTTAGCAAAACTCCACATGAGGCAGTAACAGCTGACATCACTCTGCCGGTTGGCCTGAGTCCTCAGAAGCAGCAAGAAGCCACAGCGCACCACCAGAAGTTTTTTGGTGTACTTCTCTTTATGGAGTTCTGACGAATGGAACTCAAATACACAATGTAAGGCGTACCAATACTTGCATGTTGTTAATGAACAATCCTTCATCACATGTTCTTTCTTATGCTTGCTTAAGCAAAGCATCCTTTCACCCATGACCGATTCCTGGAAACACTCCTTCACGTATTTGCTCCAGCAAAACACCATCCAACACAACTGACTTTCCAAAGAACCCTTAGGTTTCTACTTTAATCTACAATAAAAAGAAGAATCAGAAACCACCTAAGAAATGTATCTCACAAAATATCTGCAAGGCCATTAGAAAACTACAAAACAATTTTAAATACATGTCTGAAATATGCCCAATATCCTAAATATCCTAAAGACACATTTCTTTCCCAAGAAGTGATCTATATATGCAATACAATTCCAAATAAAATTTCAACAGGGTCTTAAAAAACAATACAGCTCCTCTACAGGCAGAGCTGGATAACATGATGTGGGACATAAAACCATGCCAGGAAGTCTGGTAAGGTAGAGCAGGCTGAGACCCGGAGACTCGGTGGGCACACACCTGAGGCTTAGGTGACTCCCAGCTCCCTGCCAGACTCCTAATTTGGGACATGTGCCATGCTTGTCACATAAAAGAAATGTGTCCTATGGTCACATAGGCTCAAGACAGAGTTCTCCATGCTAACCTAGAGGCCTGGAAGGCTTAGCCAATAAGCTTCCCTTCCCAGACATTCTTCCCTCCTAAAGGTATTTAATCTCAGGCCCACCCTGAAAAGTGGGGTATGGTTTTACACATCCATTTTCCACCATGGCTATAAATTGTCTGGAACCATGGACTGTATCTTTTCATCAAGATCTGTAGTGACGAGCCATGAAGAAGGCCTTCGCCTACAGAGCTGCAGTCTAATCTCCCGTAGAAGGCATCTCTGTGCTCCCAGCCACAACAGCCACGAAACCTGCCTCCTCCAAGCTAAGAACGATCACCCCATGAGACGGGCTGGAGCTCCCCTGGTCCCCCAGCCCCAGGCTAGATGCTGTCCCAACCCACAGATCGCAGACTCTGTTCTCTGCCCTTTGGCAACTCCCAGCAGTGCCTGGATGTCCAAGAGTCTGAGAACCCCATGGCCCCAGCCTTGTCACAGGCCCAGGGACCCCGAGCCAGCTCCAGCTTTCCCATGTCTCAGACTGCACCTTCCCACCCCCAGATTGCTGTCTTGGCAACTTTCCTACAGCCTGGCACCCACCCTAGAAGCAGCGTGAGGTAAGTGCAGTCAAATTCCCAGCATTCCACCCAGTGTCGAAGCAGACAGGGGCCAACAACCCTACAACATGACATCTCAGAAGTTCTGCTTTCAGATGTGGTGTCCGGGGATGCTTGCCTCAGAGTACAACAGCAGGTACTATGTCAAAGCTAAGAACTTTCCCAAGGAGGACCCTCCCAAGACTGCACACTTCATAGTCTTTCTGGGTTCCCGAGCTGGGATGACCTACTTTGTGTAGGGAGTTAACAGGCCAGGACCCCAAGTGGATAAGGAAGTTGTGGAGGCTGAGGGCACTGTGGAAGCACCACTGTGGTGGTTGCAGGCACGTGTGCTGGGCAGCATCCCTCACCTAAGAACGCCCAAATCATCTCTGCCGAGTCTGTCATCAGCAAATGCAAAGGGCACTTCCATAAGATCTGGTCACCCACAGTATCACTCACACTGATGTATGCCTGCTTCTTGTTCACCAGAAGAAGGCCTGTCTTGAGGAAAGTAAGGTAAAGAAGGGTGCTCTGGCTGAGAAAACCTGAACTTGACCTGGAGAGGTGGCGGCCACAGAGTCTCCATGAACAAGGTGTTCCCTAAGGATGCAATGGTTGATGGCATCGGACTGACAAAGAGCAAAGGGGTCACCAGTTACTGACACACCAAGGGCCATGCAAAGTTACCCATGTTGGAGGCTGGCACCCTGCCCTGGTGGCCTTCTCGAGCATGAGCTGAGCAGAAAGGCTACCATCACTGAGCTGCAATCCGCAAGAATTCCTACAATAGATTGGTCAGGGCTACCATTTCCAGGACAGCAAGCTAGTCAAGAACAATGCCTCCACCAACCATGACCTATCTGATAGGAGCATCAATCCAGGTAGCTTTGTCTATTCTGGCAAAGTGATGGATGTCTTTGTCATGCCAAAAGCTATATGGTGGGGACTAGGAAGTACCTGTGTACCCTATGCAAGTCCTTGATGCTGCAGACCAAATAAATTGCAGGCTCTGTAGAAGATCCACCCCAAGTTCATCAACACCAATTTAGTCTGTGGCCACTTCTAACATAGAGAAGATATCATGCATGGAATACTTCCGACAGACAGGACCAAATGGGCTGAAGATATGGCATTTGCCATACAAGTGTGAGGACTGGATTTGAACCCCCTCGAGCCCATACTAAGTTGGGTGAACTCAATAGCAAGTGTCTATAACACCAGTGTTCCCAGAGAGAGAGAGAGATGGGCACAGGAGACTCCATAGAGGCTCAAGGCCAGCTAGCCCGTCATGCCCCGGGGCAAGCAACAGAGACCCTGTATCAGGTGGAAGGTAAGATCAATACCTGAGTTTGTTCTCTGACCTCCACGCACACCATGGAAAACACATCACACATTCGCAAACATAAATGTTCAGGCACACACATACAAGATTATTTTAAAAGATAATGAAGGGAGAGAGAGGGAGGGAGAAAGGAAGGGAGGGAGGGAAGGAGGGAGCCAGGGAAGCTAGCGTTTAATGTCAGCATGATACACAGGTAGCAGAAACTCAATTTTCATCCCTCTCAGCAAGGGACATAAAAGAACACCCAAATTTATTCAGACATCACATGAAAATATGTAAGAGTGTTTCTAAATGATTTTCTCCTAACCTGAAAAGATTCTAAAAATGTCTATGCACTGTTTAAAATAGATTGGTTCCCACTGAGGCCAAAACCATGTGTGGCAAAGTGTTCCCAGGCGAGGGAGAATGGGAAGCCATCTGAGGGGTCAGGAGTCACTAAATAAAGCCTTCAGAAAGAAAGGGAATCACTGGAAAATAGCCCTTATGTACAGCTGCAGCAATTAAGGTAGAAACATTTCAGACATTGATTAGGGGTGGGGCTGGAGAGATGATTTAGAGCTTGAGGTTCTTGCAGAGAACCGAGGTTCGAATCTCAGAACCCACACTGCAGCTCACAACTGTTGTTTGGTTCCAAGAGATCTAATGCCCTCTTCTGTCTCCTACTGGTACTCCACACATATGGTCCACATAAAGGCCCGAAGGAAAACCACTCCCACAAATAATGCATACAGTTTGAAAGAATGGTATTAAACCAATCGGGGGAAGTAAAGGTGTTGACGAGGCCCAGCTCACTCCCCCGTCCTTGTCTTTTTCCTAGCCACCCTGGGTAACTGGCACTTTCTGGGTGCTTTGCCTTGTAGACCAGTCTCCTTATGCTTCTCATCTCATGAGACCACTCCTCCACGTGTCTGTTTCCACGTGGTTGTGGTAACCAGTCCTTATGGTTGTGACACCCCATAGTCCACAACTCATCAGACACAGTCTAAAGGAGGCCACTCTTGTTGTTGATGTCATTTTTCTTTTTTGAGACAAGGTCTCATGTAGCCCAGGCTATACTCAAAGTCATCATGTAGCTGGGGCTAACCTTGAACTACTGATCACATTGTCTGCACCTCCAAAATACTGGGCTTATTGTCATCAAACCTACTTCAGAGGCCTTGTGGGCTTCCTACTACTGGGATAAAACACAAGCCAAAATCTGCTTGAGGAGGAAAGGAATGATTTCATCTGATTGTCCATCACTGAGGGAAGCCTAGGCAAGAGTCTGTAGGCAGAAACTGAGAGAGTAGTGAATGTTTCTGACTTGCTTGTTCCCCATGGTTTGATCAGTTTGCTTTCTTATACGTTCCAGGAATACCTGCCCAGGGATGGCATTACCCACAGTGATCCAGGACCTCACACATTAACTATCAATCAAGAAAATGCCCCTACAGACTTGCCCTTAGGCCAGTCTGACAGAGGCAATTCCTCAACTGAGGTTCCTTCCTTCTAGATGACTCCAGCTTGCATCAAGTTGACAAAAACAAATAAATAACAAATAACTCAGAAACAAGCATACAATTCAATCCAGTGAAGAAAGCATCTGTGGTCAACAATGATAAAGACACCCAGCATCACTGCAAGGGAGTTTGAATCATCTGCATGGTCAATCACAGATGACCACAGAACGTGTTAGGCTGGTAGGGTAAGACATTGTGTGGGGGAAGGTAAGTGGCTTCACCTGTCTGACCTGCCTGCTTTGGAAAACACGTTGGTGCAGTTATAGATCTGGCCCATCAATCCCACCCTTACGTACAAGCATCACAGAACTTTTGATGCAACTATTCAGGAGATGTGTGTAAAGATTTTAGACAGCAATGTTTTTAGTTTAAAAAAAGACAAAAACATGAGGCTGTGCCTTCTGCCTGTGCAGACCATCAGCATGACTGCCCCTCTGAAGACCCTACAGTCTGAAGGGCTCCCCCCCAACCCCAGGAGGTGTGCTACAGCCAGGGCCACAGACTCCACAGTCTGAAGACATCCCAGGAGGTCTTCTACAGCCAGCGTCATAGGCCTTCCATGAAACCTGCAGCAACCAAGGGACAGAAGAGGCAGGCTCCAGGCGGAGACACCCAGGCCAGTTAATACCAGAGATAACCAGATGGTGAGATGCAACTGCAAGACCATAAACAACAGAAGCCAATACAGTCTGACACTATCAGAACCCAGTTCTCCCACTACAGCAAGCCCTGGATACACCAACACACCCTAAAACTAGGATGCTGACCTAAAATAGTCTCATAAAGAGTCCTTTAAGGAGGATATAAACAACTCACTGAAAGAAATACAGGAAAACACAGGTAAACATGTAAAAGCCCTTAAAGAGGAAACAAAAAATGATCTCTTAAAGAAACACAGAAAAACATAATCAAACAGGTGAAGGAATTGAACAAATCAGTCCAAGACCTAAAAATGGAAGTAGAAACAATAAAGAAAACACAAATGGAGGCAACTCTGGAAATGGAAAACCTAGGAAAGAGGTCAGGAATTACCAATGTAAGCATCACCAACAGAACACAAGGGGTAGAAAAGAGAAACTCAGGTGTAGAAGATACCTTAGAAGACATTGACACATTGATCAAAGAAAATTCTAAACAGAAAACACTCCTAACCCAAAACATCCAGGAAATCCAGGACACAATGAAAAGACCAAACCTAAGAATAGTAAGAATAGAAGAAAGTGAAGATTCCCAGCTCAAAGGACCTGAAAATGTCTTTAACAAAATCATAGAACAAATCTTCCCCCTATCTAAAAGATGGCCATAAATGTACAAGAAGCCTATAGAACACCAAATACATTGAACCAGAAAAGAAAATCATATAATCATCATATAATCATCAAAACACCAAATGCACAGAACAAAGAAAGAATATTAAAAGCTGCAAGGGAAAAAGGCCAAGTCACATATAAAGGCAGACCTATCAGAATTATACCAGACTTTTCAACAGAGACCCTAAAAGTCAGAAGATCTTGGACAGAGGTCATGCAGACCTAAGAGAACACAAATGCCAGCCAAGGCTACTATACCCAGCAAAACTCTCAATCATCATAGATGGAGAAACCAAAACATTCCATGACAAAACCAAATTTAAACAATATTTATCTACCAATCTTGCCTTACTGAGGATTCTAGAAGGAAAAATCTAACACAAGGAGGATATCTACACAAAAAGAAAAAGGAAGATATTAATCATCTTACAACAAAGCCAAAAGAAGAGAATCTCATATATGTAATGCCACCTACAACAACAAACATAACAGGAACTAATAATCATCTGTCTTTAGTATCTCTAAATATCAATAGACTCAATTTCCCAATAAAAAGACATAAGCTAATAGACTGGATACACAAGCAGGATCCAGCATTTTGCTGCAACAAGAAACACACCTCAACGACAAACACAGACAGATACTGCCTCAGAGCTAAAAGCTTGAAAAAAAAATCTTCCAAGTAAATGGTCCCAAGAAACAAGCGAGAGTTGCCATCCTAATACCAATAAAATAGACTTTCAATCAAAAGTTATCAAGCGAGATGGGGAAGGACACTTCATATTCATCAAAGAAAAATCCACCAAGAGAAAGTCTTAATTCTGAACATCTATGCCCTAAATGCAAAGGCACCCACTTTCATAAAAGAAACTTTACTAAAGTTCAAAAAGTTCATTGAATCCCACACAGCAATAATGGGAGACTTCAACACCCCACTCTCACCAATGTACAGTTATTGAAACAGAAATATAGAGGCACTAAACAGAAATTAATAGATGTTATGAACCAAGTGGATTTAACACACACACACACACACACACACACACACACACACACACACACACATATATATATATAAAACATTTCACCCTAAAACAAAAGACTATACCTTCTTCTTGTACTTCATGGTACCTTTTCCAAAATTGACCATATAATTGGTCACAAAACAAGCCTCAACAGATGCAAGAAGATTGAAATAATCCCATGCATCCTGTCAGATCACCACAGACTAAGGCTAGACTTCAACAACAACAAAAACAACAGAAACTCCGTATACCCATGGAAACAAGTCTCTACTCAATAATAACTTGGTCAGGGAAGAAATATAGAAAGAAGTTAAAGACTTCAACAAAAATGAAGGCATAACATACCCAAACTTATGGGATACAATGAAAGCAGTGCGAAAAGGAAAATTCATAGCACCAAGTGCCCTTGTAAAGAAATTGGAGAGATCCTGGGCTAATAGCTTGACAGCACACCTGAAAGCCCTAGAAGAAAAAGAAGCAAAAACACACAAAAGGAGTAGAAGGCAGGAAATAGTCAGACTCAGGGTGGAAATAACCAAGTAGAAACAAAGAAGATAATACAAAGAAGCAATAAAACCAAAAGCTGGTTCTTTGAGAAAATCAACAAGATAGATAAACCCCTAGCCAAAATAACTAAAGGGCACAGAGACAGTATCCAAATTAACATATCAAAAATAAAAAACATAGCAGAAACTGAGGAATTAAAAAAATCATCAAATCTTACTACAAAAGCCTATATTCAGCAAAATCTAGATGAAATGGATGATTTTCTAGACAGATACCACATACCAAAGTTAAATCAAGAGCAGGTAAACTATCTAAACATGCCCATATCCTGTAAGGAAACAGGAAGTCATTAAAAACCTCTGAGCCAAAAAAAAAAAAAAAAAAAAGTCCAGGGCCAGTTGGATGTAGTGCAGAATTCTACCAGGCCTTTAAAGAAGAGCTAATACTAACACTCCCCGAACTATTCCATAAAATAGAAACAAAAGGAACATTACCTAATTCATTCTATAATGTTACAATTACTCTGACACCTAAACCACGCAGAGATCCAACAAAGAGAACTTCAGACCAATTTTTCTTATGAATATGGATGCAAAAATACTCAGTAAAATCCTAGCAAACTGAACACATCAAAATGATCATTCAGGGGTTGGAGAGATGGCTCAGTGGTTAAGAGCACTGACTGCTCTTCCAGAGGTCCTGAGTTCAATTCCCAGCAACCACATGGTGGTGGCTCACAACCACCTGTAATAGGATCCAATGCCCTCCTCTGGTGTGTCCAAGGAGAACAACAATGTACTCACATACATAAAATAAATAAATCTTTAAAAAAAAGTTTTAAAAAATGATCATTCATTATGATCAAGTAGGTTTCATTCCAGGGATGCAAGGCTGGGTCAACATATGAGAATCCATTAAAGTAATCCACTATATAAACAAACTCAAAGGAAAAAAAATCACATAATCATCTCATTAGATGTTGAAAAAGCCTTTGACAAAATACATCATCCCTTCATGTTAAAAGTACTGGAGAGATCAGGAATTCAGGGCCCATACTCAAACATAATAAAAGCAAAATAAAGCAAACCAATGGCCAATATCAAATTAGATGGAAAGATATTTGAAGCAATTCCACTAAAATTAGGGACAAGACAAGGGTGCCCACTCTCCCCATATGTATTCAATATAGTACTCAAAGTTCTAGCTAGAGCAATAAGACAAGAGGAAATCAAGGGAATACAAATTGGCAAAGAAGAAGTCAAGGTATCACTATTTGCAGATGGCATGATAGTATACATAAGCGACACCAAAATTCTACCAAAGAACTTCTACAGCTGATACAAAACTTCAGCAAAGTGGCTGGATATAAAATTAATTCAAATCAGTAGCCTTTCTTTATACAAATGATAAATGGGCCGAGGAAAAAATAGGGAAATAACATCCTTTACAGTAGTCACAAAGAATATAAAATATCTTGGGGTAACTCTAGCCAAACAAGTAAAAGATCTGTATGACAAGAACTTCAAGTCTCTTAAAAAAGAAATCAAAGAAGACCTCAGAAAATGGAGAGATCTCCCATGCTCATGGATCAGCAGAATTAACATAGTAAAAATGGCCATCTTACCAAAAGCAATCTACAGATTCAATGCAATCCCCCATCAAAATTCCAACACAATTCTTCAAATACATGGAAAGAACAATTCTCAATTTCATATGGAAAAAAAACAAAAAACCCAGGATAGCAAAAAAACAATTTTTTTTTTGAGACAGGGTTTCTCTGTGTAGCCCTGGCTGTCCTGGAACTCAGAAATCCACCTGCCTCTGCCTCCCAAGTGCTGGAATTAAAGGTGTGTGCCACCACTGCCCGATGTAAAAACAATTCTTATCAATAAAAGAACTTCTAGGGGAATCACCATCCCTGGCCTTAAGCTGTACTACAGATCAATAGTGATAAAAAAACCAGCATGGTATTGTTACAGAGACAGACACATTGATCAGTGGAATAGAACTGAAGACTCAGATATAAAACCACACACTATGGACACTTGGTCTTTGACAAAGAAGCCAAAAATATACAATGGCACAGGAAGTGCCCTAGAGGGTGTGTGTGTAGGGAGATTTAGAGTAATGGCTTATGCATATGTAAGTAGATTAAATTTGTTTTCTTATATTTATTTTGTGGGGTCTAACCCCACAAAATATCAGATATCAGAGAATTACTTTGATTCTCTCTTTCCTCCATGTACATGCCAAGGATTGAGCTCAGATCATCAGGTTTGGAGGCAAGCATCTTTAACAAGCTAAGCCACTGTGGTCCATAACAATACTAAACAAAGACACCACAGATGGCTGGAATCTTCAAAACCAAACTGTGTATGACACACAGAAGTGGGAAAGAGGCAAATCATTTATTTGTTACTAGGTGCTTTTTTTTTTCTTTTTGCAGGAAGAAAGTTTTCTTCGCTAATTCACTCAACATTTATTGAGAGATGCAAGCCATCAAAGAAGTGCCCCCTCCAGAAACTAGACGCTGCAGACCAACGGTGAATGCCCAGCCTGGATCACCCCATCTCAGGAAGAGGCTCCAGAAGCAGAAAGTACCCTAGATCCTTGAAGACTTTACAATTGTTTAAAAATCACTTAAACTCTGGCAAAAGATACAGATACTGGCTAATTATTGCATAATTTATTTTTATTCATAACTCTGTGTCCTGTTAATTCTTAAAGTAATTTTATTCCTCCTAATCCGTTACTCAAATATTTTTTCATGCCCGTTAGCCTTCTGTTTCAGCGTCTAATTTCTCTCCTTTTCCCATGATGCTCCAGGACTGCCCTTCATGTTAGCAGCCCCATCTGTCCAATGTTTTCATTCTGTTCCCTCAGTCTTGCCAGGTTCTGCTCCGGAACATTGATGTCACCTGCTTTCCTGAGGCCCCAGACCCCAGGATCTAATTTCAAGTCGGAGCAAGGTCTAGGCAGACACAGTCCACAAAGCAAGGATATTCACACACTTGCCAGTCGCTCAGCATCCAGTCCGCTGAGATGCAAGCTAGTACTGGGCTCTCCTCTGCTTGCCCTCAGGAGTAGCATAACCTCCCTTTAGAGTATGAGATAAGAGCTTTGGAGTGGTCCCTGTTCCTTCTCCTTCCCAAACTTTAGCCTTAATACACCAAACCTCGGCAGCTGGGCTGGAGGAGGAAGGCGGGGGACAGGGAAGGAGCCAGAACATTGAGGTTTGTTTTTCTGCTAGGCAGTAGTTATCTCTCTGGACAATATTAAGCTTGATGGAACAGCTAAATGTTTTCCCCCAGTGACATTCCGAATCATCTGTGTCCCAGGTACATTTCTTATCTTCTCCTTCAAGGGAAATAGGGGAACAAAGCGTTGGTCAATCTAGAAATGAATCTAATCAGACAAAGAGCGGAGGCTGGAGTCAGACAGTCATAGTTTAATTGTAGGACATTGCCTTCTGAGCTGGGGGTGAGCGCAGACACTTGTATGGCTGGAAATATCAAGTGAATTAAGCATAGGAAGCCTTGAAAAGAGTGCCTGTAAACAGGAAATAGTCTTAGGGCAGCCCCACCTTATCCAAGGGGGGATATGTTCCAACACTCCAGCAGATGCCTGAATACTCAGGTAACCTTAACCCTGCATCGTGGACAAAGGTAATCTACCCGCTCTGTGCTGTTCCCACTTGCAGCCTCTTTGTACCATGACTCTTGAACTTTGGAGCCATTATTAAGCAAAGTAAGAGTTACCTGGACATAAGCACTGTGAAACCTTGGTAGTCAGTCTGTTAACTGAGATGGTTGTCTAACAGGAAGTAGCATATACGGTGTGGATACACTGCATGGAGGAATGGCAAATGTCCCAAGTAAGATGGAAACAGGCCATGCCAGATCTCACTGGGCCACTCAAAGTGGTGTACAATTTAAAACCTATGAACTGTCTACTTTCCAGAATTTTCCATTTGGTGTCTTCAGACTGCAGCTGGCATCATGGGACTAAGAGAAGCCACACCTCAGTTAAGAGGAGACTACTGTAGTCTCAGGGCCGGGATGCAGTTTCACATATGCGAAGCCTCAATTCCATCCCCAGTACTGGACAAACAAACCTCAAGACAACAAACATTCAGTAGGCCACTGTAATCTCTACTTCTTACTAGGTGGTGAAATTTAATTTACATATCATTATCTGTGCAAGTTAAACCTGAAGCTAAAGTGGCCCGGGCATGTAGACACTAAGGAAGCTTGCAAAAAAAAAAAAAATCATAGATTTGTAAAAGTACAGACAGCCTGTGGTTATATAACTCATTTCTATTCATTGACTCATTTGCATATATGCAAAAACTGTACCATGGAATTCACCATATTTGATACATAGATCTTGTCAATAGGATATGGAACGAATGAAAGAAATATAATTTTCTTTCAGAGGCTCATTCAGGATGATGAATACTGGGCTGGAGAGATGGCTCAGTGGTTAGGAGCACTGACTGCTCTTCCAGAGGTCCTGAGTTCAATTCCCAGCAACCACATAGTAGCTCACAATCGTCTGCAATGGGATCTGATGCCCTCTTCTGGTGTGTCTGAAGACAATTGCAGTGTATTCATATACATAAAATAAATAATAATTTTTAAAAAAGGATGATGAATATTTGGAATGCTGGTCTCAAACTTGCTGTGCAGTCTAGTCAACATCAACCTTGAGGTCCTGCTATACTACTGCCTCCACCTCCAGGTTTAAGTAGTGCTGGGAATCGAACCCTGGGGAACCCTGGGCTTCATGTATGTGAGGCACGCATCTACCACCTGAGCTCTGCTCCCAGCTCTTCTTGTCAGTTTGCTGCTTCTCTTTAACCACAGAGAAATGACTTCAGAGCAAGGAGAGGGGACATAGAAGGACAGCACCCCCATACCTGGTCTTGGATCTGCACATGATAAATGAGAACAGTGAACAGAGAAAGGGGGGGAGGGGGAGGTTGACGTAAGGCCAGGGAGGTTGCAAATGAGACGTGTGTGGTTGCCAGAGGCACAGACAGAACAGACCCTTGTCATCTGTGGAGGCCCAGCTCACACAGGGAGAGGAAGGGACAGATGCCCGCTCTGGGAGCGTGGACGCTGACTGACATTTCTAATGCTCCCTCACCAGCACTTTGGGAGGACAAATAACTGGCTAGAATGTCATTGTGGTGGCCTTCTGGGGCCGTAGTGGCAGCGGCCCAGTCTCCAGAGGCAGTGTGGCCAGTGTCAGAAATAGCAAGCTGGCGAGACTGGCTTAATTGGGTGACTCAGCCTCCCTGGTACAAATCCAAGAGTTTCCCTTCCTGTAGTCATCTCTGACTGCTTTTTTTTTTTTGTACCTAGCCTACAAGTGTACAATAGCACACACAATACACACAGAACACAGCAGATACAACCCAACAAAACTCAATACAGGCCGGCAGGCATGATGATGCCCACCTTTGATCCCAGCACTTGGGAAGCAAAGGCAGGTAGATCTCTGAGATCTAGGCCAGCCTGGTCTATAGAGTGAGTTCCAGACCAGCCAAGGATATACATAGTGAGACTCTGTCTCAAAACGAACGAAAACCTCAATACAGCACACCACAACAGAAGACAACCAACACAGCACAATAGACATGACTAGTCTAATATCTGAGATGTCCCCAAAGACCATGTACTTTGGACTTGACAACTTGGTCCCCAGTATGTGGTTCTAGGTGGGAAGGAGTGGAACTCAGATATAGGAAGCCAGAGGATCACTGAAGCTAGGGAGTCCAACACCAGCCTGGAAAACAGCATGGCCATGTGGCCTAGTTAGGATTGCCATTGCTGTGAAGAGACACCATGACCAAAAGCAACTCGGGGAGGAAAGGGTTTATTTGGCTCACAAGTCCACAGCAGTTTTTCTCAGAAGGAATTCAGGACAGGAACTCAAACAAGGCAGGAGCCTGGAGGCAGGAGCTGATGCAGAGGCCATGGAGGGGTACTGCTTACTAGCTTGCTTCTCATGGCTTGCTAGGCCTGTTTTCTTATAGAATCCAGGACCACGTGCCCAGGGGTAGCACCACCCACAATGGACTGGTCCCTCCCACATCAATCACTACGAAAATACTCGACAGGCTTGCCTACAGCCTGATCTTATAGAGGCGTTTTCTCTGTTGAGGTTCCTTCCTCTCAAATGATTCTAGCCTGTGTCAAGTTGACCTAAAAAGTATTGAGCACAGCCTGCATCAAGAAAAGAAGACGTGGCTTTGGCTAGAGGAAGCTGAGTCACTAGAGTTGTACCTTTGAATGGGATATTAGGATCTCACTCTCCTCCCATCCCCTCTCCCCACATGGGGTAAACCGGTCCCTGTGTAGAGTGTACCTACATCATAGGGTACCATTTATGGGTGGAGGAGTGTTCTGTCATTTGTTTTGATTTCTGAAACTTTGAAGAAAATTTGTAAAATATTTTAAAAAAAAGAATGGAAGATTTTTTTAAAAGCGAAATAAAAAGGGGTCATATAGAACCCCGGCTAATATTTTAAATATGAAATTCAGTAGATGGGAAGTTGCTTTGTCCCGTGACTATGAACATATCTGTATGTTCAGTCCCATTATTCAGTCACTGTGGCCAGTAAGCAGCCAGGGCCTCTACCCGCAGCAGAAGACCTTCTGTAAGGTAGTCTAAGTCCTGCTCATTGACCTGTAACTCCAGCTCTGGGGGGCCCAATACTTTTGTGCAAGCATCTACTTAGTGTATATACAGAGAGAGAGAAAGGGGGGGCGAGAGGGAGAATTTTAAATGAATAAACTTTTTAAATTATAAATTAATAAAAATTTTTAAAGGAAACTTACTTCTCTGTAACTTACAGTTACAGAGGCCATAAGGTCCAAGTTCAAACCTGCAGAATACTTGACTGGTGAGAAATATTTCCTGGTTCATAGATGGAACCTTCTGGCTGTGCCCTGGCTCTCTAGGTCCTCTTCTATTTTATTTTAGGCCCAGTAGCAATTTTATTAGACAGGGAAACAACACAGCACGCCCCTGGGACCTAATCTAGTTTCTCTCCCTCTCCTTGAAAGAGGCCTAAATGAGAAGGGCTCTGGAGCACAGACATGGAAGCTTTGACGTTGAAGCTTAAACTGTTAGCAGCTGTGGGGCCCAGGGAGCTGGAGGAGAGGAAGGGAGAAGCCTGCACAGAGGTGCATGTGGTGAGGAAGAAGTGTTCAGAGAGAGAGGTGAATGGCCAGAGTGCCAGGAGACTTGCTTAGGATCTGGGCTGATATATCCTCTCCCCAACACACACACACACACACACACACACACACACACAGAGAGAGAGAGACAGAGAGACAGAGAGAGACAGAGACTAAGAGACACAGAGAGAAGGGAAGATAGACACACAGAGTGTGGAGGGAGAGACAGACAGAGAAAAGGGGGAGACAGAGAGACAGAGGGAGAAAAACACACACACACACACACACACACACACACACACACACGTGGGGGAGAGAACAGAAGGAAAAGACACCGTCTAGAGTTAGAACCTGAGAGAACAGGCAGGCTTAGCAATGAGGGTCTATAAGCAACTGCCTGACTTCTCTTTTATAAAAGTTATCCTAGCCAGGCATAGTGGCTCATGCCATAAGTACCAGTTCTCTGAAGGCAAAGGCAGGCAGATCTCTAAATTCAAAACCAGCCTGGTCTACAGAGTGAATTCCAGAACAACCAGGGCTACACAGAAAAACTCTGTC